CGCACGGCCTGAAGCGGCCCGCCGCCGGCGAACGCCGAGCCAAGGCTCCTCCGGGCTGCGTGTCTGGACCTGCGGCCGCAGGAGTCAAGAAGCCAAAGGCCATGAGGAAGTTGAGCTTCGCTGATGAAGTGACCACATCCCCCGTCCTAGGCCTGAAGATCAAGGAGGAGGAGCCCGGAGCCCCGTCTCGGGGCCTGGGGGGCAGCCGCACGCCGCTGGGGGAGTTCATCTGCCAGCTGTGCAAGGAACAGTACGGGGACCCCTTCGCGCTCGCCCAGCATCGCTGCTCCCGCATCGTACGCGTGGAGTACCGCTGCCCGGAGTGCGATAAGGTCTTCAGCTGCCCAGCCAACCTCGCCTCCCATCGCCGCTGGCACAAGCCGCGTCCCGCCGTGGCCAACGCCGCCACGGTCTCTTCGATTGACGGGAAGCTTCCCGCTCCGTCCTCCCCGGACTCCAGGGCTGTGGCCGCTTTCCTGGCGGAGGGGAAGGAGAACAGCCGGGCAGAGCGGACTGAAAATCAGCACCCGCAGGCCAGGGACAGCTCCGGGGCGGAGCCGCGCGCAGACAGCGCCCCATCCCAGGGCCTCCAGGTGTTGTCCCACCTCGAGGCACCGCTGCCTCGGGTCCCCTATACCGAGGGGATATTGGGGTGTCGGCTGCCTGGGCCGGGCAGTGCAAGCGGTGTAGGGGGCCCCGAGATCTTCGTGTGCCCCTATTGCCACAAAAAGTTCCGTCGCCAAGCCTATCTGCGCAAGCATCTCGGCACTCACGAGGCGGGCCCGGCCCGCGCGCCGGCCGCAGGCTTCGGCTCCGAACGCGGTGCCTCACTGGCCTTCACTTGCCCGTTGTGCGGGGCGCACTTCCCGTCCGCAGACATCAGGGACAAGCACCGGCTGTGGCACGCTGTCCGGGAGGAGCTGCTCCTGCCAGCTTTGGCCGGGGCAGCCCCGGAAGCTCCGAGCCCAGTAGGGGCATCCGACGGGAGTGCTCAGCAAATTTTCTCGTGCAAGCACTGCCCGTCCACTTTTTTCAGCTCCCCGGGGCTGACTCGGCACATCAATAAGTGCCACCCCTCGGAAAGTCGGCAGGTACTGCTGCTGCAGATGCCACTGCGGCCGGGCTGTTGAGGGCCGGAGATGGGATAGATCGCGTGCGCAGGCCCTGAGGAAACAGATCACGGGAATTTCCGTGGGGTTTCTTCAACTTGCAAGTTGACCCCATTTCCTTCCTATATTTTTTCTCCTAAAAGTCTCAGTAGTCGATGTTCTGACATAGGAGCGGACAGCAAGATGTAAAATCCCTTTCTAGAGCAGGTATGTGTCTGGATAGTGTGACCACGAGGTCAAGGACTGTCAGCTTTAAATCCTCACTTTCCCCAAGAAAATAGGATTCCCTCCTTACCCTCCAAACTCTGAAGATCCAAATGAATCCTATGACTTGTAATTCCTATGGAAAGTCACAGTGAATACGTGCATGTCTCAATGTCTAGTTTTTTGTGTTTTTTTTTTCTGTTGTCATCCCAGGCGCCTATGTAGTTTCTGTCTCAATAGGGTCAGATACCTTGCATTGTATATTCTGTGAATTAAAAGTTGTGATTGGTGCCAAACTTACGGGGTGGGGGGAGATTCAAGACCTGTGTCTGTAGGTAGGAACGTAAGAGGATATTTGTGCTTTTGGAGGATGTGGGTATCTTCCTGTAAGTTTTCCTTTTCTCAGTATTAGTCCATTTTTAAGTTAGTGTTTGGAGGTGGGGAGGGTGCTCCTTTACAGGAAGGAGCTGAGGTACCCCCAAGATTCTCACCTTTAGCTATTCTGTGTATTCAGGAAGATACTTTAAACCTTTAAAAAAAAAAAAAAGCTTTTTGGAAATATAGAACTCATTTCCTTAAGTTTAACTGTTTTGGTAGGGTTTCATCCGAACTGTTTAATGCTTCGGTTGTAAGTCTCATACGGTGTATTATATATTAAACTATGTTCAGCTTAAGATGTTAATACCTATAATCCACTATGGAAGTGAATGGCAATTCATTCAATATCCAGTATTTTCTTTTCAGCAACTTGTCTTACAATTTTTTTGTAAACCGTATCCAGTGTACATTCTGTGCCCATGCCCCAGCAGCCAGAGTTTGGGACACTAGCTGAGTGAGTATTGCTTGACAGCCCGTATTTGTAAGATGCTTACCACCAAATAAATGTACATAGCTGGTGCTTTGTTGTGTTGTGTTTGTCTTAAGAACCCCATTAAACAGCCTATTTTGCAAAGCTACATCTTATCTCCCCAAAGCTACTATTCTACTTTAGAATTTCAGTGACCCACTTAGATTACAGCCAGGAGAAGTTATATTTTGTAAATGAATGTAATGGTGAGGAAATGCCATGGAAAAATTTCCTTTAAAGTATGGCTGCACAGGCAGAGCTCCAAAAGGCAAAGAATATATGGATATATGGACTATTCTTTAAAGACACTTTACCACCCCAAAAGGTCAACAGAATTTAAATTTTTTTTTTTTTTTTTTTATAAAAGCTAGTGAATAGTGTTATCTGAAGATGAAAAAAATCATGTTAATTGTGCTTATTAACTTCGCTATTTCAAGCTGGTATTTTCACTCCATTTTGTTACATATCATCAAACCATTAGCTGTTCATTAAAAAAATTGAAAGCACTATAGAAACATGTAAGCAGTTACTTTGATTTTCCTCTTTATAATTCTTCGTCTTGGTTGTGAGAAACTGTCTGTATTGCTTAATCTTGTTTCAAGGGTCATTTGTTTATTGTCTTTCATAGGAATTTTAGTTTATTTTCTACATTGTTTCATAGGAATTTTTTTATAAGAAAATAAAAACTTAAGTGCACAGGTTTTAGAAACTGTAAAAAGTTTTGTTCCTGAAGGTATACTATAAAGTAAATTTAAGAAATCAAAGAAGCATGAGGCTGAGATAAATTGATGCTTTAAAGAAGTGCACTGAGTGAAGTTTCTGGCCAGCTCTTATGAAGATGTAAAATTTCCAGCATTTTTAGTGACTTTATTAGGATCCTTGAGAAATAAGTTAGGGGTGTATCCTGAAAATTCAAACCCACTTTTCATTATGATAATCTAGGTTTATGCTTCACATCTCTCCATTAATCATATAGTCCTGATTATTAAATCTGAAAATACATAAAAGACAAAACACTAATGGACATAAGTGATAATATTTTTATTGTATTACTAAATACCATATATATATTTTTCACTGTTACAAATTTGTAGATACATGAATGATAATACATAATTTATATTTTATAGTTTGTTGGTATGATGTATTTACACATGCAGTTAGTACCAATGTCATGCTACATTTCCTTAGGAGATGCCCATTCAAAACAAAATAAGAGCAGAATGTGAGCAGCTTATCTACTGTAGGAAAATACTTCTGGAGAGTGGAATGTATACCAACCTGCATCTGCAAGTTCAGTATTAACAATATTAGATTTAATTTAGACTCCCAGGTCATGTTCCTTTTTTAAAAAATACACATAATTAACACATTTATATCAGAAAAGTGTTCTCCTTCTTTTCTTTCTTCCTCCCAAGTTCCCTCTTTTTGGTACTTAAGAAAGAACACAGATACACCAGGATCCACCAGCTAATAATAAAGGGCCACAATCTAAAAAAAAAATGGCATTTAACAGTGATACCATTTAAAAAGCAAAACATTAGAAAAATATTGAAGCTAAACATAAATCAAAGTTCAGCACAGTGATTTTCTGGTTATTAGATATGTTATGGAGTCACCACACAGCCAAGAAACGAGGCATTGCTTCGGGAAGAAAAAGTTAACACTAAAATTATTTCAGTTAGAATTTGAGATGCTAAATAAAAGACCATTTATTTTGTGTTTTATTTTCATAACATAAGTAATCCATACACATCCTGTGTATTAACAGATTTGCAACTTTTGCTATAACTTTACAAATGCTTCCATTTAAAAATTTACATTTGTAATTAAAATTAGATATTTACTGAGCCCATAAAGTTGCAAAGGGGCATGATAAATAAAATAATGAGACTAGCTGTCCAATTATATTTTGGTTCAAAGTTAATCATGAAATTAAAAGTAAAACTTCTTAGACATAATTATCTAGAAAGGTGAAGGGGTATTAAATAAAACTCGCCCCACCCCCCAGGCAGTTTGGAGTGTGGGGGGGAAAACCAACTGAATAAACAACTCAAATCTGAAATATTAAGTTACAAATTATTTAAATCCAGTGTTGTTTGTTTGTTTGTTTGTTTTTACAATAAATGTTCAGAAGGAACATGCATGTTATGGCAAACATAAGGGCCCGAAAGAGTTAACACTATGTTCATGCTAAGGTGGCTACTGCTGATCTCTGCTGGGCTGCTGTCTCCTTAGGATTTATTGGCTGAGCCAGAGGAACGACGCAGCTTCATGGACATACGGCTTTTGCTAGTTCGAGGAGACATTGGAGAGGCCAGGTCAGCCCCATCTACCTGCGTTGCTGTGGGAGTTTCACTGGGTAGAATCTCTGGGTAGGAGCCTGCGGGAAAAACCAAGAGCATTAGTCAGGTTACCCAGCTTCTCATCCCATAAAAAACCTTTCACTACTGATCTGTAGCAAAGAATCCCAACCTTTAATGAGGTCGTTTGAGAGGAAAAGCCCCAAAAACTTGCTTGTTACAACAGTCTACTAATATTTTATTTAAAACCGAATGACCTGGAGGCTCATGCCGTATTAGCAAGAAAGCGCCAATCCTTATTTCCAGAGCCAGAACCAAGCACAGAACTCTCCAGAAAAAGCAATGGGAAGCAAAACCTTTGGGCCAGAAAGGACAGGGATCCAAAGCACTATTAGCATGCAGGAGGGGCTTAAGGAGCGGGTAAGAAGGACCAATTCCTATCTCTACGGCATAGGGTATAACCAAGAGAAGGGCCTTCACTGCTTAAACTTGAAAATAACGGTACCGATCAGTTCCAAAAGGAGTTCAGCACTATGAGACCATTATACATGCTGGGCGTTAAAACTGCTCTCAAGAAGGGAAGGAAGAGGGCACGAACTCGCATGTGAAAGTCAGTCAGAAAGACAAACTGACCCCTCACAACGTCGCAATTTAGAAGAGATAAGCAATGCTTTTCTTTTCTGTTTTGCAATTACATTATCCAGTCCTAGCAAATAGGTAAGAAGCAAAGCAAGTTCAAATTAGAAAATTCTTTGTGTCATTTACAAAGTAGTTCTTCACCTCTGTACTTTATTTCCATGAATTATGATTCTTTAATACACAGCAACTCTACAGAACTTTGCACATTATAGGCTCTCAAATATTTTCTGAATGAATAAGAAATTACATTACAAATAAAAGCCCTTCAAAAAAAAAAACCAAAAACAAAATCAGCAAACATAATAGAATAACAAAGTTTTAAAAGTTCTGTATATTTTGAAGCTCTTTAACCCAGATTTTCTGGGTCCTGTATACATGAAAATTTTCTTTATGTGTGTCACAGCAGACAGACACACATCATACAGGTTGCAGGCTTAAATTTACACATCTCCTTACTCTGTAGGGAAACCTTTGGCATATTTGTTAGCCAATGTAGCACCTCACTGACACTTCAAGCTCAGAAATAATTATACTAGCACTTCCATACAATAAAACATTTGTGCCTAAACTGAAGTTACGAATATTTATAAGGCAACACAGACCATTCAATAGGGATACAGGTCCTATTGAGATGTAGCCCTTAATGCTTTGGTAGAACACTTCAAAATAATTTTAAGGCCAAATGTTCTTGTTATATTTATGGACAAACATACATTGTCAAAAAATATTTTTTTATTCATAATCCAGGTCAACTGCCCTGCTTTCCAAAGTAACTTCTCCAACATTCTTTCTAACTAAAATAAGGTTGACCTTCAAAATACAAGGAGAAAGGAGGAAATATATTTCTGTTCACCTCTACTCTTCCTGAAGATCTGAATTGGTTGATACTGGAAAAACTAGAGGAGAATATGAACCCATGGCCCTTTTTAGGAAAGCACTGCAGATGGATGGCAGAAGGAAAATGAAGAGCAGTAGCTCATGCTTTTCTGGTGACGCATATTATTCCCGGCCTTCCCATGGCTATTTACCTTGAGATGGCCAATGTTTTCTAGTGGAGGTTTTGGGAGGAAGAGAACTATCACTGCATTTCTTTCTTTGTTGTAAATGAAGAAATGGAGTAGCGAGCAGAAGTGCGAAAACAAAAGAGAAGATAGATAACAGATATGAGAGACACAGTGCAGAATTTTACAGGTGTTAACTGAGGAGCAGAGAAGAGAGTAATCAGGTTTTTAATATGAAATACAATTGGTCATGCAATGTGTTAGAGTGATGATGTTTCACAATGGATAATGCTTTGTAAATTCAAATGTTATACTTACCAACTAACAAGTTCAAATAGGAAAAAAGAGAAGAAAAAAAATTGTCTATGAGAGATGCTATAAACATCTACCTTTCAAAGTGTTTATTGTATTGGGGCTATGCTATCCTGATCCCTCAGGCATAGAATCTCTAGAGCCCCACATTAGTCATAGCTGCCACATTAATTAAAATTAAATAAAAATAAAAATTTGGCTTCTCAGTGCACTAGCCACATTTCAAGTCTTCAGCAGCCACATGTGGTTAGTGGCAACCATACTGGACAGTGCAGATACAGCATATTTTCATCATCATAGAAAGTTTTATTGGAGAGCACTGCTTTAGAGTAGGCCAAATTCAAAGAATATTTTTCCCAAAGGCAGGAATTCCCATGTCTCCCTTATTGCCTTCAGCATGAAATCCCTCCATTAGTAAACTGAGTCAAATCAGGCTTTTTAGTGTGTTTAGTCTGTAGCTATGAGTACCTCCTCACATTTTAGCAAATATTTATGGTATATACTCAGCATACTCAAACTCTATAAATAATTTAAAGCAGACAGATCTCAATTTTATTTACAAATACATATATATTTTTAATTTATTTACTAATTGATTTGAGACAGAGAGAGAAAGAGAGAAAGAGAGAGAGAGAGAGAAGGAAACACCAATTTGTTGTTCCAATTATTTATGCATTCATTGGTTGCAACCCACAACCTTGGCATGTTGGGACGACACTCTATCCAACTGAGCTACTTGGACAGGGCTAGATCTCAATTTTATTTTTATTTTATTTATTTATTTTTAAAGAAAGGCCTTTTTTTTTCTTAAATATACTTTATTGATTTCAGAAAGAGGAAGGGGGGGGAGAGAGAGAGAGAGAGAAACATCAATGACGAGAGAGTCATTGATTGGCTGCCTCCTGCACATCTCCTATTGGGGATCGAGCCCACAACCTGGGCATGTGCCCTAACTGGGAATCAAACCTCCATCTCCTGGATCATAGGTCGATGCTCAACTGCTGAGCCACGCTGGCCAGACTAGATCTCAATTTTAGATATAAAGAATACAGTGATACCTACACTTATTTCACATCCTATTCTGCCGAAGGACTGATTTATAGCACCTGAGTCATAAAGAATGTTAATTTATTTCTACTATTAATAGGACTCTTATATTTCTACTATGGGCTCTTACATTGATGCATCTTCTGTTACTAACACTGGTATAGTACTCACACAGACTGTGTCTATATCTTAATGGTATAATAAATTGACTCATATATTGTACATAGATTACAATAAACTATTATTACAAATACATGTAACATGACAAATATGACTGTGGGAATCTATACAGATTATATAAGGGAACTTAATGAACAATTTATTGTGGCTTTGTACTGCTTGCTGCCAGGTACGACCAGTTTAAAACTGCTAAAGTTAGAGGGTAAATATAGCCTTTAAAAATAATTGTGACTCTGAAAGCAATTCCAATTAATACTGAACTAAGAGGCAATGTGATGTGTTAGAAAGCATGGTCATGGGTTAGACAGACATCGGTTAAATGCCAAGTTTGTCATGTTAATAGCTCTGGATCTTGGGCAAACTGACAGGAGACAGTTTTCTTATTTGTAAGAAAATGAAGGCAATACTAGTTATTTTGCAAAACTGTGAGGGATGAATGATGACATATGCAAAGATCCTGGCACAGAGCAGGTACACAATAAGTGAAGCCCTATAATAAGGCTGCTAAACAGCTAAGAGTGAAAATTAATAGACTTTGAATAAGAACAGATGAGGATTAAAAAGTATATATAAATTAGAAATACTTTTGAAGAAAATGATCACTTATAAAATATAATTATTGAAATGTGGAGAATACAACATACTGATAAGTTTAGTTTTGGGGACATTAAAGAATTTATCTACTCTTATGCTGATATTCCTATAAAATACAACCTTATATTAAAAGATGCAGACTACCCAAATAATATTACTGCTTTAATGTTGTTAAAGGAGTTATTAAGTGATTAAGATTAGCATGGGTTCACCAATGAATGTCATAAAGGAAATAACACATTTAAAATAAAATGGCACAGAAATATAGGCAAACGAATGGTATCATTTTAACATATTCAAGAACTACCATTATTGCAGACTTAGAACATATTAGTCTAAGGCTGTCATATTTTATCTCCTTACAAATGGAAAAACTGGGTTTAAGATAGATTAATTTATGTGAGATCATGCAGATAATAAAACAGCAGAACTAGGATTTAATCCAGATCAGTCTGATTCCAAAGCCCATACTTCTCCATGGCAACCTTAAAACTCTTTTTTAAAAAAGAAATTTTTCAATGAGTAGAAAAGTAGAGCCTTTCAAATAAAAATTTTTAATATTAACAATTTCAAATTTGTAAATATGACACGTTATTGGGCAATTTCAACAGCAAGAAGGGGTTAAAAATATTTAGAAAAAATGGGTAATTATAAGAGCTGAGATCATGGACTCTGAAGTCAGACTCTGGCTTTAACAAGTACCAGGTGACACTGGGTAAGCTTTTTCTTTTAAATCTTACAGAACTGCCATAAAGATTAAATGAGAGAATGCATATATAGTACTTAACATAGTGCCTGGCACTATTATTATTTTACTATTATCATTACAAAAAAATGTACTCTGAATGAATGTGGTATGTGGAAACTGAACCTATTAATTACTGTCACAAAAGGTTAATGGACTTTATTTAAGATTGATATTATTTGACTCTTGGTCAAGAACATATAAGCCAATTTTCAAGCTCAAAATACTGCTGAAAACATAATACAATTGGCTGTTTATAATTTTAGGCTAACCTAGTGATAAATATGATTAGGAATCTGTTTTTAAAAACATAGTAAACAAATTTATAGTTTATGCTATATGTTGAAAGAAACTGATTTTCCTGTTGGTATTTACAAATATTACTTAGGAGATTATATATCTATCTATCTTCTGAGGACCTAAAATATATTCTTTCAGAGCCTAGACAGGAAAATGTAAAATAACTTTTAAAGAAGGACACTGATCTTAAATGGTTACCTAAAGCAATGGCTAAATTTTGATGATTCGTTCCATCCAAAGGTTCAAAGAGATGGATCTGACCATCATAATGCTATCCCATCTACATGGGATTTTGTGAAATAATAGTAAATAGGTTAGAATGAAGAAAGATTCGATGCTATCCTAGTTCTTCATTATCACTCTTATCTAGATTAACTCTTACTTTGATAGCATACATAGAAATATTTGAATCTTATTACTAATTTTAAAAATACTTATTTAAATATGAGCCTAGCCCAACCAGTGTGGCTCAGCAGTTGAGCGTCCACCTATGATCCAGGAGATCATGGTTCGATTCCAGGTCAGGGCACATGCCCAGGCTTGATCCCCAGTAGGGGGTGTGCAGGAGGCAGCCGATCAATGACTCTCTCTCATCGTTGATGTTTCTATGTCTCTCTCTCCCTTCCTCTCTCTGAAATCAATAAAGATATATTAAATATGAGCCTATAAGTTTTCTAAAGGTAATTACACAGTTGTATGTAGGTATAGATGTATGTATATTTATGTGTGTATTTGTATATATTCATACATAGAGAATCAACCACCAATCAATCCTTTAATTTTTAAAGTACTAAAATTTCTAACTTTATTTGCAGAAGAACAATAAATCCAAAGGGAGTTATCTATCAGCTCAATTAAAGTAATGGGATATTAGAGGTACTTCTAGATATACTACACAATAAACATTAAAAATATTTATGGCTAATAATACTGAAGACGACAATACTGGATAAAAATGGGTGTTATTTTTAATGCTGAAATTGAGAAAGACAATATTTACTGTGTATTTTCAGCAAAAAATCCAGTTTCTTACTGGTGTTCCATAATTTCTTTTAGTAAAAAAAAATTTGATTTGAAAAGACAATGTGCTATTAGGGAAAAATATCTAGATTTTGAACTACCAAGGTAATTTGGCCAAGAAGAGGAGTCATTTCATTTTAAAGTTTAGAGTCAGAGGAGAGGTGCTCGTGAATATAAAAAAAGTTAAAAAAGATCACTTTAAAACTTTTGATATTTTCCACACACATGCCTGACAAAGATAAAGGTTTTTTTTCCTGTAATTTTTAAAAAAATAAGGGACAAGAACAATCTAATAATGTTTTAATGTAGTTATTGTGATGTCACACTTTGTTGATCTTCCATATCTCCCCTCCATGACCTAAGGGATAAAAATAATTTCCCTTAAGTATCAGTCTACTGCCACAGAGTCCATTTTGAGAAAACGCAGTTATGAAATTTATGGATCAACTATGATATACCAAAAATGTTTTTCATATCTATTTAAATAACACTAAAAATTATATTTAAAAACCCTCTCTTGTATTTCAATGTCATCACATTTGGTACATTACTGTTAAACAGAAAGTTAGTTTTAGATAATCTTAAATCAAGTTGTCAGCTTAAAAAATAGTATTTTTCCACACTATTCCACCAAATAAAATTATATTATAGGATTGGTTAGAAATATATTCTTTATATGTTTATTATATTGGCATTACTTTAAGCTTAATTTCAAATTATTGCATTAGTATTGATTAGTAGTATTTTATATACATGGAGTATGCATAGGATATTTAAAGCTGATTTTCGCTTGCAATTATAAATGCATTTCCTCAATGTGGCAAATTTTATCATATGTTAAAAAGTAAAAATGAACCAAAAAAACTTCACATTGTTATGTAATTTCTGTAAGTCAGGTCCATATTGCTATTATATGGTTTATTTCATGTGGTCTCTCTCCCATTTTGACTTATAACTTTAAAGGGAGTTCTATATGTATGGGGTTGTTTAGGACAGAAAAATAAAAATTTGAGGCAATTGGAAGAAAAAAATAAATCATTCATCAGATAACAGAATGTTTTTGTTACTGTAGAAGTAAATATTTCATTTTTATATTGTGTTGAACTGAGAACCATTCTGCTAAAACTTTCTATCTTTAATGACTATAAAGTCTGCAAAAAAAACCATATAAAAACGTATTTGGTAATACTGGCCCAAGTTATTTACAGGCTAAAACAACCTCTTAAAAATTAGAATGTTTGCTTCTAATGGTTCCTAAAGGCAAAGATAATTTAAAGCAATTAACTGAACGTTCTACAGCTGTGCTGTCTTCACAGCCGGGCTGTATCGCAATGGAGCTGTTTTGTACTGTATTGTTTCCTTCTTCACTGCACCCCCCCAAAAAAATATAACTGAAAGAATTTTTAGCACTTATTATTAGGTATATGTTAAAACTCACATTTTCATTACTATTTAGATAACTTTAAATTTTATGTTAACAAGTTGCAGAATAAATAAGATACTGAAATACATTAAAAAATAAGCCAGAGGAGCCTTGACTTGGTTGCTCTATCATCCGTTACTTAAAGCCTCAGAAAGTGAGCCTCCTACTGACTTCCCATATTATGTATCTGGCGAAATATGCGGGATAATATGCAAAATAGAAAGGAATATGAGGAAGAGGAATGTGAAGGACTCCAGCTTGCAAACAACTACAACATGAAATTGATACTCTATACATTTAAGGGGAAAAGTTAGTCTGAATGTCGTCCCATTATCAGTATTTTTCAGTTGTGAAAATTATAGCTCGGCTATGTGATACACAAAAGTATTACTCATATCTATTTTAATAGTCTATCAGATATTCTTTATTATTAAAAATGACATTTCCAGGTATACTTAACTAGTTTGTAATTTGTTGTTCATTACTTTACTTTTAATATCTTTCTTCTACCATCTTTATGCCAAATTGAGTAGTTTTAGAGAGTATCAATCCACTGAAGTGAATCCTAGACTTTTTAATCTCTTTCAAAAGATTCAACCTAGTCTTAATGCAATTTTATCATTGCTAAGTCTTCTATATTAATCAAAAGGGCTCTAAGATTTTAGGTACAATTATTTTTATAATGCCCAATTAAATGATGACATAAATGGAAGCTTTAATTTTGACTAAACCTCAACTGAGAATTACAGTAATTTTTTTCAAATAAATCAGGCAAGAAAAGGAATACTGTGCCTTTTAAACTTATTTAATATAAAGAAAACTTAGAGAATTTGAAGTGTTACTATAATGAACTTCAAGTATATTATATTCTCTTTTCTTGCTTCATTTGAACACCATTAAAATAGTCATCTTTGTATTTTAGGTGCCTACTACAGTGTAAGGCACAGAACAGTTATTTGATGAGTTAAGATATTCAATAAAAATGCAACACATTATAAAATACAAAGACATACCATTTCAGTTCAGTAGTACTACTTTTTCATGCTGAGAAACAAAGGTCAATACAACAAGGTGTAACTAATTTCAACCAAGAGTTTTATTATTAGTTATTTTTTATCCCAGAACCAGAGTTAGTGTTTCATGCAGACTTGGGTTAGTAAGTATAATTCTGGAAAAAATTTAGTGACCATTTCTGAAATGTTTAGTATGAACCAGGGCAGTGTTAAGTTTGCTTACTGTCTGAGTTACAAGCTTAGTGCTTGCTAATTTTAAAAAAAGGAAATAGGGGAAGAACAAAGAATGTTTTGGTTGACACTTTGTCTTACCTTTGGATAAACAGAACTGATATTTAATGATCTAAAGAGGGAAAATAAAATAAATGAAACAATCATAAGGAGTGCAAAGTATTACAGAATAGGAAGGCCATGAGTCATTTATTTTTTACTGATTTCTTCAAAATTAGTTAATAGTAAAAATGCAGTACCCTCTTATAATCTTTAAATATTATAAAATAATTAACTGTTTTAAGTACTTTTAAATCTAGACCATTTAACTTTATTTGTAAAATTAGAGATAAGGCAATATTCTTGGCCATAAAATTCGATCCTCTAAAGCTGACGGTGAGTGCACACTCAACCTGTGTCTCTTTCGCAGATACTCCCTTCAGTAATGATTCCATGAAACACAGCAGTCACTGCCCATTAGCTCAGATAAAATGTACTTCTATGAAGACTGTTGACTTTCAAACGAACTCCATTTAGGTAAAAGAAAGTATAAATCAAACTTATAGGCCAGATTCAAATATTAAATAATAATAAAAAATATTTGTATTTCAATGTTGAAACAAATCTTATTTGAGCAAGTTTCCCATTATTTTAAGAGTTTTTAGAACAAAAGGGTATTGCATTTCAAGTTCAAATAATGACAAGTAACTAATACTCGCTTTTAATCTTACCGGCATCAGATGGTAAATGATGGTAGGGAGCTGGAGAGAAAACCTGTGCTGCAAAATCTTCAAATGTTGTTGGTTCTAAATGGTGCTGGACAATTGTTTGCAGGTATCGCGCTCTCTCTTCATAGCTGATTTTCTTCAGTTAAGGATGAAGTTAAGTGCAGCTTACATTGGAAAAGAATAGATCTCATCAAAAAGGACTTTAATTACTAAGCCATCAGTTATAATTACTAAGCCATCAGTTCTTCATAAATACAATGATTCATTAAACTATTCTTGCATATATTAAAACTATGGCTTTTTAAAGAGTAAAAATATGGTTTTTAACATGTTTACACTTCAGGGTACCACTATAAGTGGCAGCTTAATAGGGAGACATTTATGAGAAAATAATTATAATACTGAACTGTTGGAAGAAAGAAAGTTAAGTTTACCCGAGAAAGGATTCAACTGCTATCAAGACAGCCTAGGCTCATCTTATCTTTTTTTAAAAAAAAAATTTATCTTTATTGTTGAAAGTATTACAGATGTTCCCCTTTCTTTCCCCATTGACCCCTTCAGATTTACTCTGAAAAGCCACACAATAAATATTATAATGCTGCTTAAAATACCATGTCTGAAATTCTATATTTTTCATTTGTAAAGACTTATTGTGAAAAATTCCTGCATATCTTCCTTTTTTTTCTAAAATCTTTGCATTTTCCCAACAATTGTCCTCATTTTGAATGGAAGACTACTGTTGCTGTAATCCTTGAATAACTCCATGCGGTTAAGATAAATACATAGTTGAATCTGTATGTCAGGAAAAAATACCTAGTCAATTATAACACTGAAACAAGCAGGAATATTTGCAAAGAGACCACGGGACTCCTAAATACTGTCTAACAAAGCATCTACAGGGCACTGACACTGACAGAAAAACACTGTACTTCCCTTTCACCACATTTTCTTCTCTGATATTATTGACAAGCAACCAGTACCTTGAAGTGTTGTTGCTTTTGAACAACCCACTCCAGGCTTCCTGTTTCAGCAGGCCTGATTGTGCTGTTAGCACAGAGAGGGCGAGAAAGAGAGAGAATATTTCTGTTGTTCACGAAAGCAACTATGGAAATGGCTGTCAAAATGTAGAGCAGCAGGCAGCAACATACAATTATCAGGAAAAACTCACATGCTGACTTCATGTCGTATAGTTCCTGAACTGAGAAATCAGTTAACCTTTCTTCTACAACTTTCAAAAGTTTTCCTGCTGCACTCAATATGCTCTGTTGATGGGCTTTACATAAGACATTTAAATAAGTATAAAGAATAATAAAAATTTGCCTACTGTTTTTTCTCCCCACTGATTTTCTGAAACTCATTTAAATATTTTCTCCTCAAAATTTCTTATTTTTTAAAAAAATTACATTTCAATTACTGTAGTTCTACAATTCTAAAATTGTAGCCCAAGTCTACAACCAAGACCAAGAAAAAAAAGTTGGGGAAAATAATTTAAAATTCTAATTCAATGGGAGATACCATAGCCAGTTCTACTTACAAAAAAAGGTTATTATGAAGAGGGAAAAAAGCGTAAGAGTAAAGGTAAGACTATATTCAATAGGTACTTGACCTAAATTGTGATATCTTTTGCCCTCTAAATGGCTTGAGTATTTTCTCCTTGTATTACAATTTATTTTATGCATTGAAATAATCTGAATTCCAATTCCTTGCCATCCACTATTTTCAATTCTGCACACTGAGGCTGAACTTAAAAATAATTTTACTTCTGAAATGGGTAGCAACAGGACAAGATGCTATATTAAAATGATCAGCGGTAAGGATTTTATGGAATCATATAGACATTTTTGAGTGCTAACAGGAAAGAAATACACGGCACTTCTAACAGGTATATGGTTAGAAATGGAAGGGGATGAAACTGATGGTTCAATCTAAATAATACCACATATCTCACAACTTGTTGGAAAGTACTTTTTTCATTGGGGGAGATTCACAGCTGCCGAATTTTCTGCAGTTAATAGAGTCCTTTGATTCACAGCAGTGCCCCTTGTACAAAAAATACTGGCCTTTGTGTATTACCAGAAACTAATTTTCTATTTGGCTGAAAAGGGAAAAATGGGGTTATTGCTTCTCCCTCCTACAGAGCTTTTCATTATGCCTGATGCACTCAACTTCTAAGCTCTTCTGAGAAAAAAAATAACTGAAGAGGCAAGAGGTAGAAAAATGAGCTTGTTAGCACATTAGAAGTGAAGTATCTTGGTGGGCCCTAGAAATTCCCAGTGGTGTGTTAACTTATCACTCTATGCATGCTGGCACTGATAGTCTCCCAATTGATCACTCTCTTTTCGCACCAAAGGTGCTGCCAGGAAGCAAAGGCTGAAGGCCCACAGGAGAACAGTTTGCTATCAAAACAAGCTGTTTTTAAAAGTCTGTTTGAATGGGTAAAATGCTTCATGAAAAGTAGGGTGGAGACACCTACCTGCTTTTAAAATGCTCTACTTTCAGAGGGCTTATAAATGAAATATTTTACTTTATCTTATTATATTTAGAGTTTACACAAAAATTAAGCATAAAGAAAGCAAATGTTAAATATTCCTAAAGCAGGAGGATATTTTCAATGTAGTGAAATTTATTAAAGCAAGAAATGACTATCTAGATAAAATATATTTTGGAGTGTAATTCTACTTCGCTATACAAAAAAAGACTTATAAAATTCTGAAGAAACTAACATAAAGCTATATAAGCTAAAATTATCCATATATAATATATTCATTTATATAAAAACAAATGATGTATTTAATAAAATTACAAAATATCTTCGTTAGTGAAAATGATACTTTCTAAAACAATTTTTAAGGAGTGAAACAATCATTAATGATTGAATTTAAGTGAAAAGCTATAGCACTTATCACAAATTAGGCAGGCTAATGTCTGAAGTTTTCTTTTTGGGGGGTATTTTCAGAAAGCACTGCTAGCCTAGTAAATAATTAGAGTCTACAGTAATTAAGTTTCTAAAAATTCTTTATAATTTTCCAAGTTTGATGTGGCCAAATAAATGAACAAGATTAAAACAAACCAACCTAATCTATTGTACTTAAATCTTTTCCTCTTTTTACTTCAAAAACATAGTATTAAGGAGATTTAACAAACTGAGTACTTAAACACAGTCCTCAGTCCACAAACAAGGTGCTTTTTGTGACTGAGATAACGATAAAGTTCCAAACTGCCATTAGCATCTGCAATGGTAAACATAATCCAATGCGGTTAACTCCTATATCTCCTAAAATAGGTTAGACAAAGTTAGACACTCATTCCTCAAAAGGCAGCTCTCTACGGAAGAGTTATCAGCACCTATAAACTGAGTGGCGTACAACAACTTCAGGGCTAGCCATAACAGGATACCCCAAGCTATATTCCTATGGTAAATGCATGTTGCTGTTGGCATTGAAATTAAAAAACTGAAATGGGTGAGATGATACACAGGTAAAGGTAAACTAACAAATTCAGAGCAAAATTTAAAGTGCAAGTCTATCTTGAATTAAGAAGGTTTTTATTGTAAATTTAAAACCACCCGAGCCAAACTAGCTAATAAAAAGAAGCCATTTGATGAAGGAGACTTTTAGCTGGTAGGACTCTTTAATACAAAACTAGCCAATCAAAAGAAATAACACACAGGTGCTGCAATCATAGCAATACAATTATCCACTAATCCTCCTTCCTTCTACTTTCTGCAAAAGCAGAAAAGAGGGGAAGGAATATTACTATTTTAAAAATAATAAAGGGAACCAACCAAACATTTTCTATAGTACAAATAGTTGAAACCTAATCTGTACTTCATAATATTAAGTTAACATTACTATTCATTTAAAGTGATTTTAAACTTATGTATGAAATTATTTGTGGTCCTGTCACTGTGTCAAGACCAGCTATCAAGAAATCGGGGTTCAATTTCAGCCCAGTCCTGGAAAGAGGTGCATGAATCTTCTGTGCCACAGTTTATCTGTATGTTAAATGGGGATACCACCACCTGTTCCTATTTATGTCACAGGGATGTCAAAGATAAAGGATATAAATAGAGGGTAACCTCAAAGTTTCCCTACATCTGTGCTGAAAATAGTTTATTCTGACCTTTGGGTCAAGCCTTTGTAAACAGCAAGTACTGTCTCCATGAGGACAATTTTCAATGTCAGTTTAAGAAACATATGTATTAATATGCAAGAATCCTTTGATAATATTTGTTTGTAGTATGTATAGAAGGACTTACTTAGATGAGAGGAAACTGATTTCTCATGAGAAAAAGACAATATGAAAAAGATACCATAGAAGGTTAAATAGTACATTTTTCTATTTTACTAATGTATAGAAAAATAAATAAAAGGTAAATATGGTTTTAAAGAAGCAACAACCTTTCATGCTCCACAATAAATTTCTTAATAATATAATGTAATTTCAAACTTTTACTGTCAGAAAAAGCAAAACTTTCAGTTTTGTGATGACGACTTCCATGGCATGCCCAGTAGGTGTACAAACATTTAGCTCCCAGGATCACACCAAAATTAAATTATAGGACAACTGTCACTGAGAACCACCAAAGACTAGCTGAAGAAAAGTCCAATAACCAAGAATATAAAGAAGTACCCACAATGACACAGGAGGCGTGGAGGCAAAGAAAGGGCAGTTGCCATGTGATTAAGAATCAGGATGGATATCTTGGATGTGGAGGTACCACCTCAGAAGCAAGGGGTCCCAGCCCTACACCTAGCTCCCCAGCCCAGGGCACCAGTGCTGAAAAGAGCAGTCCCCATGACACCTGGTTTTGAAGGATTGTGGCTGAGTAAGATGAATGGATGATGGAGTCCCAGGCATTTCCCCCTTAAGGAGACACTCAAGGACTTGATTGCTCACAGACTCACTTGCTCTGGGCTCCAGTGTGAGGGCTGGAGGGTCAGGGGTCAGGGAGGCTCTCTCTAAGGGTTGAAATGTTGGCAGACACCATCACTCCTTTGTTGAACCCTCTCCATACCCAGCCCTGAGGAGCAGGTGGTGCCAAATCTGAGCTCTCCATTAACTTGGCTAACACTCTGCCCCATCCTGGTGATTACCTGAGACCTTACAGCTGGCCTGAGCTGCTTCC